AGACAGTGATGCTGCCAGATGAAATATGTAAAACACACCAACAACAGTGGAATACTGTCTTCAGAAATACTTAAACAACAGAAAACTGTCCAAATCTGGCACCACGAAGTGCAGCTTCAGAGGCAGCAGCTGGATAAAAGCAGCTTCTCCTGTCTGAACAGCTGCACTGGTTTAGCTCAGTGGTTTCTTCTCTGCAACAATCAATTGGATTTTGTGGTTCAATCCCTCCTCAGGATCAAACCACCGATACTGTCGAATGTTTTTATGGTTCCTTCTGATTCCAACCTGCACATTTACTCTAATAAAGACGTTGTTGCAGAGCTCCAAGTTCATTTCTTCTCTGAAGTGTCTCGATATGAAGTGCAGCTTCAGAGGCAGCAGCTGGATAAAAGCAGCTTCTCCTGTCTGAACAGCTGCACTGGTTTAGCTCAGTGGTTACTTCGCTCAACAATTCTGTCTACAGGATACGCTGATCTCCATCCCTCTGCGGGATCGAACCACGGGTGCTGTCCAGTGTTTTTTCATCTCCTCTGGGAAAGATCTGCTGTTGATTCCTGTTATTATTGATTCTTGTCGTTATTAATTGTCATCGTTCTCCTTCTGAGGATGTCTTTAAGTCATACAACTATAAATGCTGCAGTAAACAGGCTGAATAAAAAGTGAAGAGAATAAAGAATATTAAAAACTAAAACATTAGAAGCACACACAAAACAGTCATTGATTGAAACACTTAAACACGAGGAAAGCAGGTGTCCTTGGAAACTCTCTCACTAATATTACCCTGATGTCCTACTTCAGTCTGAACCCAAAAGTCAATAGAATACAGGACTCGTTTGCATATTCAGATTATAACAGAAAACATCATCAATCGATAACTGATGATGGATTATTATAGTTGAAGGTGAAAAATGGTTGATCTTTAGGAGGAAATTTTCAGTTGACATGTTAGAAGCGGCTTTAGCTCAGTGGTTTCTTCTCTGCAACAAGCTGTAGGATTTTG